TGAAATAACAAATAAAAAATATATCATATCCATGGTACATATATATGTTAGGGGTGGACAAAATTACCCGAAAATCGGATACCCGTCCCGACCCGAGGGTCAGATACCCGAAAATCGGGTATCCGTTATCTTATGAGATAGAGATCGGGTTTTAAAATATGTAAAACCCGAAATCCGGATTCGGGTTCGGGTTTGGATTTACATTTTCAGGTCGGATAATTATCCGCGGGTACCCGAATAATAAAAAATAAATATTATTTATTTAAAATTTTTAATATTAATAAAAATATTTATCAATTATCTTGAATTTTTATATTTTTATATATATATAAACTATTATTTTATTAATCTAATCATTTTAAATATAAATATTTTAAATTATTTTCATTAATTTTATGAATTATGTGTATAAAATTTATAAATTTATAATTTTTTTTTAAAAGTTTAAAATTTTTCGGGTTCGGGTATCCGCGAGTATCCGAAAATTATCTCACGAGTAATACATTTCGGGTACCCGGAAATTCGGGTTCGAATTCGGGTTTCAAAATATGTTATTTTTCGGGTTTGGATTCGGGTTCGGGTATCCGACCCGTGACCACCCTATTATATGTATGCATGCATATATATCTATATCCATATTATTTTATGTAAATAAAAAATTTAGAATTAAATTTAGAAATATTTATATTTCAAAATAAATATATTTGACCTATATAAATTGCAATGTATTTCGGGACTTGATGATGGATTAGGATAAAGTTTGAATTTCATTATATTTTAATTCAAATTAAAAATTCGTACATAAAGTGGTACAGTTACATAAATTCGTGAGGAAAAATATTTTTTTAGCTAATGAAACAGTTTGTTCTACATATCATTTATTTATATATATATAATTATAACAAACCTAATTTTTATGACTTATAATGTTGTAGAAAAGATATTCACATTGAATAACAAATATTTTAGAACCAAGATAGAAAATAAGAAAAAATGCAGGAGAGATTTTTTTGTTAGTGATTTCGTTCGAGATACTTGCGTACTTATATATATACTATATATATGTATACATATATATATATATATATATATTTTTTATGTTTAGATTTGTTTATTAATTTTTGTATTTGATTATTTATTTCATTAATTTATTATTTATATATATATATATATTAAAATAAAAAACAAGTATGTGCGTGTATATATTAATTAATACATGCATGCTATATTATTTACATGTATATATGTATGCACTTAATTTTGAAAATTTGATTTACTTATTTACTTATTATTTAGGTATTTGATTATTTATTTTATTGATTTATTATTATTATTTTATTATTCTAGATAGCGTTAATATATCAAAATATTAAAACAAAATATTACCAAACATGCAGTTTAAAAACATGCAGTTTTATTAGTTTAAAACATGCGGTTGTGTTTTCCGTATTAAAAAATATAATTATCCAAGCCAAAATATGAGAATTTAAAAACTTTTTATTCAAACATGCAGTGAAATTTAAAACATTTCAACAGTCAAATTAAAATCATACATGTCTGAGATAATATTTACCATAAACGTAAAAGTTTGGAATCATAATCCCGAATCTGAGTACATTACAAAAACCCATTATATCATTGGTTTTCATCTATACGTCAAATCCTGTTCATGGAAAGCGGGATACGGATATCACATTAGTACGAAAATTTTATGGAGATAATCTAATTGTAAAGGGTTTTTTAGGATAAAAAATGAATATATGATTTAAATTATCATAATATGCAAAGTATAAAAATTTTATGGAGATAATCTAATTGTACAAGATTTTTTAGAATAAAAAAAAGTAAAATGTTTAAATTGTCATACTATACAAAGTACAGACTATTTTGGAGATAATCTAAAAGTACAGGGCTTTTTAGGATAAAAAATAAGTACAAGGATTAAATTAAAATAAAATAAAAGTATAAAGTTTTTTTTTGCCATTTACTCTAAATTAAATGATAAGTTTTTAAATTCAAATAAATGATTTATAATATTGATAAATTTAATCATTTCTTTAAAAATTCACTGTTATTATTACTAAAAAGGGCAAAAAAATAATAAAATTTAAATTCAAGTTGAATCATACAAACTAAATTTAAAAATAAAATAGTTAATATTTTTATACGAAAATTTTGAAAAATATTTTATGTAAAAAAAATTATACAACATACTCAAATTGTAAAATAGTATGCAAAACATAAATTTTACAAAGAAAAATTTAACCATCGAACAATGAAAAATTGAAAAGCCAAAACTAAATATTTGAACCATTGGTATATCATATTGTACAACAAATAACATTATTATTCAATAAATTAAGAATATTGTAGAATAATGTTGTGGATGAAAAAATATTTCAAAATTATACAAAAAAAAGAAAGTAAATATTGATAAGTTTTATAAATAAAGAATGACTTCAAGATTCTGTCTAACAGATAAAAGTGATCAGATGATAAGTTTTATATTGTTTAACATAAAGTAATTCTATAAAAAAGATTGATGATACCACTTGTAATATTGATAAAAAGAAATTTTGAATACATTTATACAATGACTTAATAATAGCTTTGACAAACTAACATCAAGATCTATCAGATTCGTCAAATTATATATATATATATAATGATTTAATAATATAATTTTTATTATATTCATATCAAGAGTTTATTTCAACGGAATGATAAATATTTTATATTAACAATAACAAAAATAATAACCCGCGCATCGCGCGGGTCCTCGACTAGTATACCATAAAAGTATATAAATTTAATTTTTATATACACGAACACATGCATATATATATGTATGTCTTATGTATATATAATTTAATTTTTGTATTATTTTTAAATTTAAAATTTATTGATGACGTGTCAACTTCGCTTATGTGGTTATTATAACATGACTTGTGGGGAGTCCAGACGAATATAACATGTTGTCTTTGTTCCCGGGAGGAGGAGTCACATGAACACCTTTTCTTCGAGTGCTCGTTCAATTCAGAGATTTGGAAGCACTTCGCTGACAGGATCAACCCTGATCCACCACCACGGCACAATTCAATCACATTAAACAAAAAAAAAAACAGATAAATACCTAAAATTTTACAAAAATCTCATATAAATACCTTAACTATAAAACTTCCATATAAATACCTGAACTTTTAAAAATCTTATATAAATACCTAGACTTTAAAAAAAATTCCAAATAAATACAAATTTTATATATTTTTTAAATAAAAATATGTGATATTATTAACGTTATTTGGGTTTATTTGGGAGTTTTTCAAAAGTCTAGGTATTTATATAGGGTTTTAAAAAAGTTCAAGTATTTATATGGAAATTTTATAGTTCAGGTATTTATACGGGATTTTTGTAAAAGTTAAGGTATTTATATGCGATTTTACAAAAAAAAATATATATATAGTAATAGTTAATAAAAAAAGCTTTTTTCATAAAAAAAATTATAATAAAAGGTAGTTTTCTAATTAAGTAATAGTTTAGCAATTGGATGTACGCTTTTTTATGTTCATAAAAATAAGAAAAAAAAAATAAACAATATTCATAAATATTGTGTGTCCATATGTTTTTATAAAATTGTGTGGCCCAAGACGGATGGACGAACAAGTGTACTCGGCCTAGAAATTATGTGAATGATATATAGAATATTTTATTTGACGATCATATACAAACATAAATACATCTAGAATTCTTTTGAAACGTATTCGGATAATTAATGTGGGGGACTGGATGAGATATTTAAAAAATACTTAAAATTGGCGATCAAATTATATTAAATGTCGTGATGTAAAATGGGTTGGTTCGGTTTAAATCCATCCGAGCCAACTTATTTTGACCTAGTTCGACTGCGATATGTTTTTACGAGTCAAAAAAATTCTGATTCGATCCATATCGTACGGACTAATTAGTCAGTTTATAAAAAAAAATAAAAATATCAAATATAAGAAAAATATTAAAAATAATAAAATACTTCAAATAGTAAAAAATATTAAAAATTAAAAAAAAAATCAGACGAATCAATTCATCACGGTCTATTTTTCGTACATTTAATTTTCTGAACCTATGTCGAAAAATATGGGATGTTTTCTATTTTATCTGTAACTAACAAACTTATGATTTATTTTAGAACATAAATATAAAATCCATGGTCATGATATATCTGAACATTTAATATAAGTTAATAGTTTATTCAAATACTTGTTATATAATCCACAGTTATTCATTTAGATAATAGATAACAACATATATAAAAACCATGATTTTTAGGACATTCTTCCTAGTCTATATAGAAAAACTTCCCAACCAACACCAACCAATTTCTCACATTTAGTTAACAAATATATATCACTATCACCAAACTTATGTAAAGTCATTAATTAAAAGAGTTTGGTTTTTCATCACAATATTAGTGTGATTCATAAATTTCAAACTTAAATCATGCATGATTTTTATTTTCCGAAACTTTTGACAACTTGAGATTGAAGGTGAAATCGAGAAAAGAGAAAAAGAAAAGAGGGGTTTTACAATATAAAATAGTTTTTATTAGTATTCTATAAAAGGATTTGAAAAATTATATGTTGGAAATATACATCATTACTCATATATAATTTTTTTTATAGTATATGGTCCATTTTCTCGGGAATAAATAAATTATGTTGCAACGATTAGAGGATATATTACCTTGCATAGTCTTCATTGATATTTAAAATTTTGTTTTATTATTGGTTAACGTTTTAAATATAATGAGTTCTCAATTTAATCTTTTACCTGTCTAATTTCCATCTTGTAATCATCGAACTAAACAGGAGAGAACTTGCTTGAATGAAACTGTACAACATTAATTTTATTATTATTATTATTCGACGTCATTGTAATTTGACGAGGTTGGCTCTATAAATATGCAAGAACCGAGAGTGAGAACATTACCTTTGTGTGAACAAAACGCTTTAGCAAATGGAGTTACAAAAGAGTAGTTTGGTCCAAGTTGAGAGAGATGTCTCTCGGCCTTTAGCCGATTTCCCCGCCGGTAATGGTGAAGATCCCTTCATCATTTCTTGCATTTCTCATATGGACCATAAGGTACATGCATGATCATGACACATATACATACACACATAGGTATATACATATACATATATTCTGGTTTTATAGGCACGAGAGATATACAAAGAGAAGTTGTGCTCATTGAAGGAGCATGTGAAGGAATTGTATACAGCCACAAAAGCCAATCCTGTGGAAAACGTGGAGTTCATCTACACATTATGCCGCCTTGGCGTTTGCTACCACTTTGAGAAAGAAATCGAGGAGCAGTTGGATAAACTATTCGATAGTAATGATTTTCACAGTATATTAAGGGATGATGAATGCGATCTTTATACTACTGGACTTGCTTTCCAACTCTTCAGGCAATTCGGTTTCAAACTCTCTCCCGGTAAGGATGTACCATTAGCTCTCCTACTCACATATCGTTTAAATGAAATCACCGATATATATGATGTTGTATATGTACATTGTAAGATGTGTTTGAAAAGTTCAAAGATGGAGATGGAAAGTTCAAGGAACACCTCGGAGCCGATACAAAAGCTATTTTGAGCTTGTATGAAGCTGCTCAATGGAGCACCCGTGGCGAAGATGTTCTAGATGATGCCCTTGTTTTCTCGACATCTCGTTTGGAAGGATTATTGGCTTCTCGATACATCCGACCTCATCTCGCTGTACGCATAAAAAACGTTCTAAAGCACTCTTATCATAAGGGTATCCCGAGACTGGAGTCGAGACAATACATCTCTTACTATGAGGAAGACGAAATTCATGATGAGACATTACTCACATTTTCTAAAGTAGATTTCAATCTAGTGCAGCTGCTACACCGTGAGGAGCTTGCCCATATCTCAAGGTGAACACATTTTATTGGACAAGTTTAATCTAGTTTAGGCCCACACCGTGGTGGCAAAGTGGTGTGGGAGCACAATTCGAGCCCCAAATAATTAGTTTAACATGTATAGGTTTCATCAGGTGGTACAAAGATATGAAGATTAAATCTGGCATACCATATGCAAGGAACAGAATGGTCGAGGCCTATATGTGGGCAGTCGCACTAAATTTCGTACCGCGGTATTCACAGGCACGGATTATAAATGCAATTTCTACAATCCTAGTGACACTACTCGATGATACATATGATGCTTATGGCACCTTGGAAGAACTTGACCTCTTCACAGATGCATTGGACAGGTATTTGATTTTTCAAATCAATACAAATGTGTGTTTATGCAGTCACCACGCATGGATTTTGCATTATGTAAACGATCAAACACATGAGACAGTGTCATAAATAACTTGACATCACAATTTTTAACCTAAAGAGTACATAATTCTATGGATATAAGTTTTTTTCATGCAGGTGGCTTCTTAACGCCCCTGAGGCGCTACCGGACAGCATGAAGAACACTTACCGTATTATAGTTGATTACTGTGACAGGCTAGAGAAGGAGTTGGAGAATGAAGGGATGTCAGGATGCAGCTTCAATGTGAAAAACAAAGTAAGACGCACATTTCGTTCATATAAATCTTATACGTCATTAGGTTTTTTTTTATAAACAGTCATTAGGGCTTGTTTTAGTCACTCATACATTTTATCTCGTATGTTTACTACAACTGCTAGTTTAAAGAACTAGCGAAGAGCTACTATCGAGAGGCAAAGTGGCTGAACGAAGACTACGTTGCAACGTTTGATGAGTATGCGGAGAATGGAGAAACTACAAGCACTTGCTCCCTGTTGTTAGCCGCAACCTACGTTGGGGTTCCTGATATCGACAAACGTGAAGCTTTTCAATGGCTGAGCTCAAAACCTAAAATCATTGGAGCCGCCGTGAAAATCTGGCGATTCATGGACGACATTGTCGGCCACGAGGTGTTTGCTCGGATGTTTTATATATAACCTCATCTTTTCTTTCGAAATAACAATAATTCTTTACATATATATTGCAGATGGATCATAAACGGAAACACGTGAAAACAACCATAGATTGTTACATGAAACAGTACGATGTTTCAAAGGAGAAAGCCAAGGAAGAGATTGAAAGAATCATCTCGGAGTCATGGAAGGATATGAACCAAGAACTGATGAGGCCATACTCTGCACCTTACCATCTTCTACAGCACATCCTTAACCTAACACGGGCCTGTGAAGTGACTTACAAGTATCATGAAGGGTATACACAACCACATCACTTAAAGGATTGTATCGTCGCTTTATTCGCCCAACAAATACCCATCTGACCATATATTGTTTGATGACATCAGTTTCTTGCAATTGCTCATAAGTGCAACTAAATGGTTATATGGGATTCGGGGGAAAACTTACCTTTTTTCTGTTTTTATTCGTAGAATAAAATAACCGAGCTGAAGCAAATGTGTATCTTGTTGGGCCTTGGGCCCATCTAACGAGGAAATAAAGTAATGGTGGTGCCTCAGGGGCGTTAAGAAGCCACCTGCATGAAAAAAAACTTATATCCATAGAATTATGTACTCTTTAGGTTAAAAATTGTGATTTTGATATTATAGTTTTTATTTTGAGTTTTTGGCTTTTGGTTTTTATATTTTGATTTTGATATTTGGATTTTTTAAATTAAAAAAATATATAATTTTTTTTTATCAAAGTGGATTTTCAAGTTTTTAGAAAAACTAAATTTATAAAAATTTGATTGTCAATTTTTTGGGTTTTTGTATTTTCAAAAGTCCAAAAATCTTTTCCATTTAAGGTCTATATTTTTTAGTAGGAAAGCATATTAAAACAATAAAAATTCTATAAAAGACATATTTATTTTGTAATTTGGGAGTGTTGAGGTTTGTCAATAGAATGTATTTGGGCATGGTTTTTCTATTCATAAACCACTGACGTTTTGTCGTTAATAATAATCTCATCGATAGATTCCTGTAGACACATGAAAAATTTATATTCAAATTCTCTCCATACATTTGCAAATATATATTGTTTTATTTTGTGAAATGAGGAATAATGTTTCTATAAATGAAACTAAGTATACGAACCAAACAAATAAACGAACCCTAATTAAATTTAGAAATTAAAGTTCGTTTTGCGTTTTTGGTCATCAATATACAAAGAACTAACTCCATTACCGAATCCAACTGTCAAACCAATTTCCACGCGCGTTGACTTCTGGAGTGGCAGCTTTGTTAAACTTAACAAGGAGACATTCACATGCTCGGTTTTTCCCCGTCTTGGTAATAAAATTTTCACTATATTTTTACCTTGTACATTGCACGACTTCGAAATATTCATTTTGTTAGCAAAGAGTAACCATAGAGAGAAGGAAGGAAGATGAAAGGTCATTTTTTTGGTGTTCTCACTCATGTTCGGTTCCTTATACATCCAAATATAGGTTTACACATGTATGTATAGCTCTACCGACACTAGATAATGGAATAGATCTATTATATAATTTGATATCAAAAGTTGGAGTGTGTGCTGTCACGCATGGGCTGTTCGGTTCGTTGAAAATAGATCTATTATTGTTTTCACGAACTACTCTAAAGCTTTTGTTTTCGTAATTAATACACGTTAGTTTTCTTTCACATTTCCAAAATAGTATTTTGTCCACCTAAGAGTTAAATCCTGAACTCTATTTTCAACGATTTGTGCAATCTAATCTTCAATTATATATATATATATAATGCGCATCGCTGTCCCAAAAAAAAAATACTAGTAAAGAGGAAGAATCTATATTGTTCTCTCTATTCAATCTTTAATGCATTATCAGCACACGCACGATTGTTACATATGCGCGTGAAGTGCACTTTGGAGACCAACTTGTAGCAACTTGTTGCCTAATGATTTGAACCCCTTTCCTTTTCACATAGACCTGAGTGCTCGCTTTCCCATATTCTCTGCTTCTTCTTCTCCTCCTCTTTCTTCTTATACTCTCTCTTCTGATTCAATTCTAAAGCTCCACTAAATCTTTCTCCGATGGGGATTTCCAGAATTCTAATCCTTCTCTTTATCCCTCTCTCCCTTTTTCACCCCTTTCCTGCTTCATTTACTCCTACTGACAATTACCTCATCAACTGTGGCTCCGCCGCCAACGTCTCCTTCTTCTCCACCCGTCTCTTCCTCGGCGACTCCACGAAGCCAGGTTCGAATTTTCTCTCCTCCGATCGATCCGTCTCTCTTTCCGACCCGAACCCGGATCCGAGCTCGCCCGTTTTGTACCACACGGCTCGGGTTTTCCCCGTCGGGTCGTCCTCCGTCTACAAGTTCAGCGTCGCCAGTAACGGTACTCACTTTGTTCGTCTCCATTTCTCACCGTTGCAAGCTCGAAACTTTAACTTGAAGTCGGCGAAATTTCGAGTTTTGGTTAATGGGTTCTCGGTGTTGAACGGTTTTAGTACTAAATCTCTCGCGGTCAAGGAATTTGTGCTGAGAATCGATGACCCATTCATTGAGATTTCGTTTAGTCCCATGGAATCATCAGGGTTTGGGTTCGTCAATGCGATAGAAGTGTTCTCTGCGCCGAAAGATTATATTATCGATCAAGGGACTAAGTTTGTTGTCGGTAATTTTGTCCAAGAGTTCTGGAACGTGTCGTCCAGAGTTCTGGAGACAGTTCATAGGATCAATGTCGGTGGTATGAAATTGACGCCGTTCAATGATACCCTTTGGAGGACATGGCTTGTTGATGATGAATATCTTGTCTTGAAATCAGCTGCAAAACGTGTTGCGACCACTCATTCTCCGAATTATCAGACAGGTGGTGCGATGAGAGAGATAGCTCCGGATAATGTTTATATGACGGCGCAAGAGATGAATCGAGACAACTCTGAATTGCAGGCGAGGTTTAACATCACTTGGGGTTTCCCTGTTGGTCCGAAGGGCGTTCCTCATCTCGTTCGGTTGCATTTCTCTGACATTGTTAGCCCTTCACTCAACCAGCTTTACTTCACTGTCTTCATCAATGATTACTTGGCATATAAGGACGTTGATCTCTCCACGCTTACGTTCCATGTTCTTGCCTCTCCGGTATACGTAGATTTCGTGGCGGAATCTGATCATTCCGGGATGATGAGGATAAGCGTCGGACCATCCGATCTGAGTAATCCAGCGAGATCCAATGCCATATTGAACGGTGTGGAGATCATGAGGATTCTGAATCCGGGTAGTTCAAAGGCGGGAACCAAGAAGAGGAATGCCGTATGGGGCGGGG